GGAGTTTGAGTAGAATGTCTAATTGCAACTAAATATAGAAAATCTAAATAATTAGCATTAAAGTTAAGAGTTTTGTTATATATATTGATTCAACCAAAAAATTAAGTTAAAAAATTAGTAAAAATAGCAATTAAACATTTATTATTAATTGTTTGTAAATTAAAAGAATAGCCAGAACATGCATATAATTAAATAAATACAAAAAAATATAAACAGGTAAATTGTAATTTAATTTGATATTATTAATGAATGATAAGTATTGTATTAGATTGAAAAAGTTGTTTTTTGGCTTTATCAATAATAATTTGGTTATTAAATACTATAATAAGTCAGGATTTTTTATATAATAAGAAGTGTTCAGTTGTGTAACTATAGTAATTAATATCAGATAAATGTAAGTGTAAATATAGTATACAATTGTAAAAATAATTTGTAACTTAATCTTCTAAATAAGTAAATTAAAAAGATTATTTGCCTTTTAGAATTTTATAAATATAAAGAGAAAAGAATTTCTAATTTAGTAAGTATGAATTATCAAATATAGTAAGTTAGTCTAAATATAGAATGCTATGATATTTGAGTTGTTTTTTAAAAGTTAGATATTTAGAATATAAAAAAAAAAAGATTTCAATAAAATAAAACTCTTCTGAATAGTATATAGAATGTTATTAATTGGATTAGAAGTAAATGTTATACCAAAATATTTTAAAAGTTAAATAATTTTAAAGTTAATAAAATGTTTGTTTAATTCATTAATAGTAGAATTATTATATATCAGAATATTAGTAGATAACTAAAAATTATTTTAAACTTGCTGAAATCAAATATGAGTACTAATACTAAGAAAATCAAAAAGGTTAAGTTTTTTGGTATAGTTTGTAATATAGTGTTGTAGTTGAATATTTCATATATTGCAAATATTATATAATTAAAAATAAAGTAAAATACTAGTAGAAGTTGTATAACTAAGTTTGGCTTTGTTTTTAACAAGTTCAATATAGTTTGTAAGAATTTTGTTACAAATGTTTTAGTTAAAAATTATATTATAAAAGCAATATTCTAATAACTATATTAATAATATATTATGCATATATATTAGTAATTTGGTTAGTATTTACAATTTTGATAAGATGTAAAAACTTAGCTATAATAAGCTTTGTCTATTTTGTTTGTTTATTATTAAATGTAAACCAGCATTCTAAAAACTTAAATAGTTTATTTAAGAAATAAAGTTAAATAAATAATTATTGTATATAATAAATTATAATTAAATAAAGATTTATTAGTTGTAAATATGAATTTAGTAAAATTAATTTAAATATTAGCCATATTATAAAAAGATTCAGCTATGATAAAAATTTGTAAAAGCTTTTATTATGAAGATGCAATTCAAAAACTGTTATTTATACAGCAAAAACTAAGCAATATAATTTGAATTTGTTGTATATTAGATCTTTAAGATTAGTTGATCAGAAAACTTCTATAATATAACTATCAAATTGTTATAAATATATGAAATAAATAGTTATAATATATTCTTTATAAAAAAAAAGTAATGGTTTCACTCTAATCAATACTATTAAGTACAGAATATAAAGATGTAATGCCAAGATTTGTAATAATTTGATTTTGTCAATTAGTAAATAAGTTAATAATAGTATTAATAATAGAACTAAAAAGTGCAAAACACTAAAGAAAGTGTTAAAAAAAATTTAGATTGACAAAATCATAAGCTTTACTTATATTCTAAGATAAAAGCCAAATAGTTTTTTGATTGCATAGTGCATTCTTAGTAATATTATTAAGTATATGAATAAGTATAAAAGTATTATTATTAAGTAAGCAATATAGTTATATAGTGAAAGTATAAAATATATTACTAATTCTATTAGTAATAATTTTTGTATAAACTTTGCAAGTATGTTTAATAAAACTTATTGAATGAGTAAGATTAAAGTTTTTATCAAATATGTTTTGTTTAAAAATAAAATAAGTTCTATTATGCTTTATTGTTTAGGATTTTGACTTAAAGCAAGACAGTAATTGAACCAAGCAATATAGCTTTAATGCAAATAGTACTTGCATATTTAAGCATTTATAACTAATACTTGTAGAGCTATAGGCTTTTTCATTAGAAAGCTTTCTATAGTTTGAGTACTTTTTTTTTTAGTAATAGAAGAAAAAAAAGAGTTATACTATTGAGTATTAATATGTGATAGTACATAGTGGCTCTTGATATAATAAAGGCCATGGTTCTAGTCCTTTGCTTTATTATATCAAAAGCTTCATAATATTATAATATCATAATCTTATGATATACCAGATATTATAATAAATTATATAGTTCTCTGCTATATCAAGAAAATATTTTTTTAAATATCAAAAATACAAATCTATAGCAAACTAATTTAATTAAGTATTATTAGTTTGCTAATACTTATAGTAAGTACTTTTATTTTGAAACATGTTAAGCAATTATAACTTAATGATTTAACAAAATACACAATATAATATTGATATGTGATTGATTTAATTATATGCATATACATAAATGATGCCTGACAAAATTTACATAACCTAATGAAATATATAGCAAAATCAATTTTATTACTGCTGAAATATATGACAAAATCAATTTCATTAACAGCAAAATAATTTTGTCAGGCATCTATAATATATATATATGTATATGTCATATTAAAGTAATCAATTGACTCTGATCTTTTTTTCCTATAATTGAATAAATAAAGACAAGCAAGATACTAGGAGCATGCGAAAAAAGTATTATTAGAACCAAAACTAAAGTACAAATAATTAGAATTTGAAAATGAGCCTATTCATATTGTGATAATTGGTGAACAAGAATTAAAAATCTAACACTATATTTATTAACCAGCATGATATTTAAATAGTGAGAGAAAATAAAAATTATATTATTTTTTCATTATTATATGCTTTAGCATCTTTTTTTTATAAAATTAAGCTTTATATATTGGACTAATGATTATAAGTACCTTTAGTTGATTTATATACCAATTAATATTAGCTATTTAGTATTAAGTAGTAATTTGAACATGATTACCTTTAATAGCTTCAATGGTTGATGCTAGATTTGTCTTAATGATTGCTGTAACTAGTTATAACAATCATTAAGATGATTCTACTATATTACTAGTAGTAAGTTATTTTTATTTCTTTAATCAAAATTTCTAGAGATGTTATAGCCCAGTCTAGTTTAGTCTAGTTTAAAAAAGACTTTTTATATATTTTATTTATTAATTTGTAAACTAGACCAAACCAAACTAAAGACTATAATTGGAGTTATTATTAGAGCCATATAATCAAGTAATAATGGCAATATCTAATATATTATGTATATCAGATTTATTAGCTCTGAACTGCTTTTAATTAAATTTGAACTTGAACTGTTATTTAACTGCTGAAGCAGTTATTTTAAAACTATAATATCTCTAAAAAGTACTTAAAAGTTGTTAGTATAAGTAAGAACAATTCATAGAATTAAAACATGTTATTATAAATGATTTAGAAATATCTAAATAAAAGAATTTATTAGTAGTGCCAAATATATTTTCTCCATCATGGAAATAAAGATTCTTATACTGTAATAAGAAATTAAATATATATCTTATTTCATATAAAATTGCTATATTTAATAAACTTATAACTTTGTTTATATTTATATTAATAATATTGTATTACTAGCTATTTGAAAAATAAAATCAAAATATCTAAATCATAAGGTTAATAAATTCTTCTAATGTAGCCTGTCTTTTACTTTTTTTTTTAGTATTAAGATAACCTCTTTGGTCTAAGCTTTTTATTAATACTTATAGCAGATACATATAGTATTTTATATAGACGTATCTATAATGAACTATTAGACGAATATACAACTGGCTACACATGTAACTTTTTTATATTACCTATTTAAGATGTCTGTCTGAGGGTTCCCTACCAGTTGCTATATCTAACACCCTTGCTTAGATGTTCTATTTAAACCTTCTGATCTAATTATAGTATTAATTTCATCAGATTACAGACCTGGATCTATTCACATTTAACTATAGAACTATAATCCTTAGATTATTTTTATTCTCGAGGTAAACCTACCAGAGTGAGCTATATTCTCTTTTACTGCTAACCTGGTTTGACACTATAGCTGAGACTAACACTTGCAGTCAGAGTTACCTCTTAAACTACTATTACTCTTGTAAAGTTCATCTAAACCCTGATACCCATCTTTTCGACTTCTTCATCATTATCTCCTACTAGCTGCAACTCAGAACTAATTAACTTCTCAGACTTCCAATTCAGATGATCTGATATAATATACTTATGTATTCTTTTTCTCTGGTGATTCCAGCAGCCTGGTTGGTCATGTGCTCTTCTACACATCTTTGTTATTCAGTTTATTTGACAGTTCCTATGAAGGTGTTTTATGGGCTTCCATTAGTACAATGGCACTATTGAAAGTTTGTACTATCTTTTTATTTAAGATTTCCAAGTGAGTTTTTGTCTTTTCAGTTTTTTAGCCTTCTACATCCGATGGTCTTATCATAGGTTTGCACTGAAGCCTTATATGACACTGGTTTTTTACATTCCTCTATATACATATACTATATAACATTACACTTCACATAAATGCCCCAAGCTCCCAATGTTAGATGGAACCTGACTTGGTGTACTTAAAATTACAGATACCCAAAACCCAACCAATCAGCAAGAGACAGTTATTATAACAGGTATAATTTCCAAAATTCACCATCTGTGAGAATTAAACCTTAGACCTGCCACTTAAGGGTTAACAACCTATTCACTTCACTAGGTTGTCACATCCCTTCTGTTTTTTACTTTTATTATGCAAATAGCTAATATACTTAAGATTACACAAAACTTTCATTAAAGATGAAGCAATTTCTAGATTATTTTGCTAAACATATTTTATCAAGTTATCAAGTCTTACAATTGCATCTCCAATTTTAACTATTTCTTTTTTGTTCTTTTTCTAATTCACTCTCATCTTGTCCATTAACTATATCAATAATTCTATTTATAGTTAAGTCTTCTTCAATGTTCATATAATTATCAATCTCAATATATTCTTGTACATCTAAGGGATTATTAATTGATAAACATTCAATAAGATTAATAATCTCTGCTTCCAATTCAGCTTTTTTAGATGCAGAGGCTTTCAATTCAGTTTTTTCATGCATAGTATTATCCAAATTTTTCATAGATAGAAGTATACTAGCTCTATCCTAGCTATAAATAATTGTACTTGAAGTAACATTTTTTTATGCTTGAGCTACAAAATTAATTGCATCATATAATGTAACATCAGAAAAAACTGAATTGTTTTTAGTAATTGTATCATAAGCTTCAAAACAGTTTTAACAAAAAATATATGAAGTTTTGTATTTGTGAATAAAGAGAAGTGGTAATTTTTCATCACCAATAGAATTACAAGTAATTATAACTGTAACTCTATTCTTTGATTTTTTTTTTCCTAAAACTGATTCATAAGCAAGTGTCTTGCTTGGCTTAAGTTACCAAAAAAGTGCTGTTGCATTATAGTTAAATATATCTCTAAGCTCATAATTTTAAAGAACATCTTGAAGTTCTAGATGAAATTTTAAAACATCTTCTAAAAGCACACTACTAGCTTCTTTTTGACATTGATAAGAAGAAATAATATTTCTTTTTTTAAAATTAGCCAACCAACCAATGAATGCATTAAATCTGATAATTTCAAATTTATTAATGAATTCCTTAGCCTGAGCTTGAAAAAGATGATCAGTAAGAGTAAGTTCATTTTTAATTGCTTGCTCAACCAAAATAGATATTGCCTCTTCAAGTTCAAGATTATCAGGCTTTTTTTGATATTTAGCTTGGATTAAAATATAAGCATCATTGAGACCTAACCAGTACTCAGAGCATTTGAGAATATCAGATACTAATTGTTTACTTATTTTATACTTTTTAGCCAAATTTACTCTTTTTAAATTAGGATTATTATATTTTTTTCACATAATTCTTTTTTTTGTATTTCAGTTAAAAATATTATCTTCTTTATACTGATATCAGAGTTTTTTTTGCATTTTTTAATTTTATTTATAATGAATACAATTTATTAATATGCGATTTGGATTATGCTTCTTTATATAGGTTATTTATACAGATTACTTAATAAAAATATAATTATTATTCTTTTTTTACTGCTATACACTAATCTTTATAAGTGTTTTTAGAAATTTCTTGATATGAAATTTTACTATTATTATTAATTATCTAATTCTTATTTAGATATTAAAATAATGAGTTTCAGATTCAATGTTTCTTATTAAAATTTACATTTTTATTTTTTTACATATACTTATGCATAATACTTAAGCTCCAATTACTCTTGCATTTTCTGTTTTTTTTTTTTTTTTTATCAAATTAAGTTCATTATTTTATATACAATTTAACTATTTATTATTATTATATTATTCTGAAACCTTATATCATTTTGAAAACTTACATATTGCTAGTCAGTTAAGTTTATTATTTAAATTATAAATTATAGGATATATAACAACTTATTCAATAGTAAGATCACCAATATCGTAATATGAAGGTAAGCATCTAATTGACCTTTTACTATTTTTTAAAAAATGAAAAAAGCGATTAAATTTTTATTTTCTTATTTTTTATATATATAATATTTGACTCATATCAATTATATTAAATTACATCATTAATTACTTATATAATTTACTGATGATTACATTTTTTATGCATTTGAGAACTAATAAGCCAATATGCTATTAACCCTAGTGCTAGGCACTTCTCAACTTGATCATAACAATTATTTACTATTGTTATTATTATTCATTCTGAAACCTTATTGTTATATTTTTTTTCATAATTATCTTGATTTAGTTACATGCAATATTTCAAATTATTATAGTGTTTATGCATATTTTATTTCTTGATTTAGATCATTATTTTAGTACAGAGTGCCTAATATTTAAAATAGCACTAGTGATATTATAAAAACAATTAAACTAAACTCAATAAAATTTTTTATTTTTATTTTATAGAAATAGAATTAAAAATAAAACAATTCTGGTTATGTAATTATTATAAGATCACTTATGCTATTTTAAATGCTAGAAATAGCTAAACATTATATTCTATTGTTTATTTCTAATACTAATATGTATAATTATGATATAAATTATCTAGTAAAATCTGGTTTATTGTTAATCTAATTTAAAATTAAATTATAATAACCAGGTTGTCTCTAACTTTAGTACAAATTCAGCTACTTGTGTCATTTAAGCACTTGTAAAAGAATATTTATATGATTAGCTTACATAAATCAAATTGCCTAAGTAATCTATTTATATATTTTAAAGTACTTTTTAAGAATGTAACAAAAGTTTACTATAATAACACTGTTACAAAATAAAACTTTACTTAACTAACTAATGAACTATCAAATTATACTATCAAATAAAGGTGATTGAAAGCATAACATCTAAACTAATTTTATTATATTAAATTTAAATAAAATTTAATAGAAGAACTGGGCTTAATTTGTTCTTATAATGCATTTAAGTTGTTAACTATAAATCAAAGTTTGGTTAATATATTGTAATAAATATTACTTTTATTTTATTTTTTGATATATATTTATAAGTTTGTAAGCTTTATATAAAATTTAAAATGATAAATCTTTTTAATAATTATGTATTATAATTGGTTAGTTATTACAGGAAGTTACATGTAGTCACAGGTAAATCTACAAAAATAAACTAATAATATAAATGTTCATTTAATCAAATAATTTTTTACTATATTGTTATATAGTAGTTTTAAATTAAAATCTGTTATAAATTATATTGTGAGATTACTATTAATCTCTAGTATATCCAAATAACTTTACTGGTAATAATTTGGTTTTATTATAAATCTTTGCACTAAGAAATATCTATTATATCAATAATCTATTATATTAAAAGCCATTATGTAGTTGATATTATATAGATTAAAAGTTATAAAAAAGGTTTTAATTAATTAGTTAATAAGCTGTCCAATTAAGAAAATGAGATTATATATATTGTTTAATAAGGTTAAAATTTGTAACTATTTGGTCAAGAAATTTGATATTAAAAAAGTAAATAAGAGCTTTGTAGCAATTAAAAAACTATTGATAGTATGTTTAAAATATGTAAAAAGTGTTTTACATCTTTTTTAATAACTTGTTAGATTTGTTATTAAAGCAAAAAAAAGTTTCAAGATGGCAAACATAATAGAGTTGTTTCTAAATATTTTGTACATATTGGATTCATTGATTGAGTTATAAATGTTAATAAGAGATAAAGATATAAAAATTGCACCAGGATTTTAAATTAAAATTTTGGATTCTTGAATTAATTTAATTAATATCAAGATTGTTATTATAATTTTTTATAATTTTAATTAAGTGTTTAAGTTTTTTAAATAATAAATAAAGTGAAATATTATAAGGAGTGTGGCAACTTAGTGAAGTGAATAAGTTGTCAACTCCCAAGTGGTAGATTAGAAGTTCAAAACTCACTAACAGCAAAAATTTGAAAAACTACCTATGTTATATCAATATTACGGAAGGTAAGTAGTATTACAGCAATGGCACTTCATTGATCAGTTAGGATCAGTACTTGTAATACAGTTGCACTAGCATAACTAACAGGTTATGAAGCTTCTGTGCAATATTGAAGTTATATAAAAAAATACAAACTAGCATCAAACAATGTAAACCCAAAATAAGTTCTCATGGTCATGTAAATCTGTAAACTAGAAAACTGAAGCCTACTTGAAAAGACCTAAATAGAGAAATAGCACAGATCTTTGACAGTACCATTGTAAAAACTAGATCTAAAAAACAAATATCAATATAAAAGAAATTAGGCAGACAAGAATCTCAGGTAAGGAGTCCACTAACCAGGCTGCTGAAAGTCTCAAACTAAAGAAAAAGAACTTTGAGGAGCAGACTTTGAGGTATCAAAGACAGGTCATAGTTCTTTCAGACTATCTGGATTGAAAGTCTGAGGTCAGAAGCAGAAGTATACTATAAGTACTAGAAATATATTGTGAAGTTAGTACTAAGGTCTAAGTAAACTCTGCAAAAGCAAGCCCTGTTAACAAGAAACTAAATGTAGGTAGTTAGTTAGCAGAAGGGCCTCCTGAAGCTTTACAGTTAGGTGACATATTCTGAAATATGTAATGGTTTAATGAACATACAAACAGAAAGGTCACAGTTAGGTTAGATAGGACTTAGATATACAGAAACTTGTATGCTATTTGTTAATATAAGTATAGGGAACAGAGTATTTAAATAGGTAATCACCTAGTAGATTGCAGATATGGCAGTTAGTATAGAACCTGCTATGTGAGCAGATTACTTAAAATAGACAACCAAAAAGTTGTATATTTGGCAAGTTATATACTCATCTTGTATAAGTCATATAATCATAATTAAAATATAATAAAGATAATAGCTGCTGATAACTACAGCCTTAGTATAAGCAAAAAAAAAAAAAAAAAGTAAAGTATTATGAAAAAAATATTAATGATTATAATTGTATTTGTATAATTTTTTATTAAAAATAGAATATATTACAATATTAATAATTAAGTTTTCAATTCTATGTTAGATGATTTCAATATTCTTATTTGTATTGTAGTTAAGTAAAGTATTATATGTTTTGAGATTAGAAAAAAAAAATTCTGTTTAACTAACTGAACATATAGTTTTGTAGTTAAAAATTCTACAATTAATACTAATGTAATAGCATAAAGGTTTATTATATATATTAGTAAAGATCTAAAAAGAAAAAAGAATAAAATAGTTACTTAATATAAAAGTATTACTGTCATTAAGACTAATAAAAAAAAGAACTATATGTTAAATAAGTCAGTCTAAATATAGTCAATATGATTTTGACTAGTATTATTTGACTATATGTAATGCTTGTTGTTAATATATGCTCTAAGATCACATATGTTAGATTAATATATATAGTTAATAAGTTGAAATTTAGATAAAAAGCTATAAATATTATTATATATATTAAAGTTTTCAAGAAAAATTCAATAAAAATTTAGTTAATAGGCTTGTTAAATCTATGTAATAACTGTATTTTGTGTTTTATTACATTTTTGCATATCAGTAAAGGAAATATAAATTGCTATAATGCAGAGTTTAATATTATTTTTAAATAATAATTTAAAG